ATTAAATGAGAAAAAATAACAACGGAAAGCGTATAAAACAAAATTAAAAAGTGTAGAAAATGGTAAAAAAAATATACATAATCTATAAATACGAGAAAGATAAAAAAAAAAAAAAATAACTGAACTGCATAAACAAAAGCAAATAACATAACTTGCAAACTAAAGCTAGACTTTAACTTTAACTCTTTATCAATGTGAATTTTTCTAGGTACATCTGCGTGTGTGTTTGTTGTGTTAAGTCTGAATGTTCGGCTAATTTGTGCGTTGCGAATGTGTAAAATGCGTGGATCTTACGCGTGAATTGCGGTTAGTATATGGGCGTGAATGTTGTTAACAAAAGTCAAAAGCTAAGTAAACCATAAATAATCATTGTATTTAATTGATTAATCAATAAATAAAAAAGAGAAAAAAAAAATTGTCATCTTTTTATTTTATAAAATTTGCACAACATACCCGAACTTCCTAATTGGTTCACCATATTTTCCAAAATTTTGTTTGAGAGGCTCTTTTAAACAGCAGAAAGACTAGAAACGTTATTGTAAATTATTGCAAGAATTTCGACTTAAATTTTATAGTTTTCGAAAATGAAATTTCTGATTGAATGAATTCCTTTGCATATGATAGGCCACCGAAAAAATAACCCTTCTTCAAACAGTTCCTAGAACCGGTTCCCGAAGGAAAACCACTATTTCTGCCATCCGCACGGATCTAAACGATTCGCACTGTCGTAACAAGCATCCTTCGGACTGGAATAGGAATATATCCGACGGATGTCATTCGCACGAAACAAATCCTTCACACTCGTTTGTTACGACATTGCGAATCGTATAAGATCCGTGCGGAAACTTTACGTTGATTTCAGACTTAATATAAAATTAAATAAGCAATTATTTTATTATTAATAGAAAAAAAAAACAAAAATAAAAGCAAGTAATTTTTTAGCAAACAAGTATTTTTTAAGCAAAAAACAAAACCGGCTTCAATTCTCATATAAAAAAATTAAGAGTACCGTTAATTTCTTCAGGATCCAATGATCGGATCTAAACCAAATTAGTATGGGACCACATTTCCTTTAAAAAAAGAAATATGGAAATCGGTTAACATCCAAAGTTATGCGGTAACATACATACAAAAAAATCCGACGAATTGATGATCTCCATTTTTGAAGTCGGTTCAAAATTAAAAAAAAACCGCTCTCTTGTAAAGTTTGGTTTCTGGCACAAGCGATATTTTCGCGCAAAAGGGGACCATATTTTTTTTTTAATGAAAAAAAAGTTTGCTTGCATAAGTTTCATTAAAAATGCTGAAATGGAGCCTCATTTAATATTTTCTACTTCCAAGTTTAGAAATATTACTTTTTATCTATTTTTTTACTTGTTGCAAAAAAGCTGCTAAAATTTGGGTGTTTTAATAATGTGATATGAAAAAAGTTTATATTACTTTTAAATATTTTTTTTGGAAAATAAAATTATATTTGTATTTTGGAAATTATTGTTTTTCAAGAAAAACTCGTACATAGTTGCATTAAAAAATGCTGAAATGGAGTTCTCATTTAATATTTTCTAACTACAATTTTTATAAAAAGTTAGTTTTCAAATGTCTTTACATTATTTTCCTCATAAAACCAGTTAATTGCTTAGGAATTCAATTAAAGTCAAATTTTTTTATTTTTTTTTTTATTTTTTCTTTATTTAAAGCAAACTAAAACCATTGGAAATTCTAAAATTTTAGGCGTTAACCATTAATTTCAATCATTTTATTAGAAAAAAATTTAGTTCTTTTTCTTATGAAGCTTGGATTAAAGAAGTAATACTAGGTACGTTCGTTTAAAATCTTCAGAAAAATACCCAACAGGAAAATTCCGGCTAAATGTCATCTGTTCTCTCATAAGAGAAAAATATCCAGAATAGTACGCGAATAGAAAATTTGCGGTAACTTGTCAGTTAGACGAACAGCTAGATTGAATTTTTGTTTACATACAAAAGTGTAAAATTGAAAACGTACATACGAAAACTGATACCAAAGTGTTATTGATTAAACGAATAATTACTTACTTCTTACAAGTTTAATTAGTCGCATTTTTCTTCCTTTTTACTTTTGGACTTAAATCAAACAATCTGTTCTATTAAACTGGCCATGAAAGGAAATTCTCTGAGCAGTTGAAGCCAAACCTATGTTTTAACAAATGTTTATGCCCTTTTACAAAGGAGGAAGGCTATTGAAATTTCCACACTGGTTGAAATGCGTTGGAAAATAAAAGAAAATTTGCCGATAATTATTTGGCTATTTTTACCTAAAATAATGTGCTTATACCGAATATACGTTCAAATTTAAGTGGTTGAAGAGTACGTGCAATTCTACCTGGTTTTACATCACTATTTCGCACGACATTTTCACCTCTTCCTCTCCTTCAAACTTATTCTTTACTATCTCATTCTCTCAATATTGTGACGTCACACCCAGTTCTTCTCAGCTCGATTGGCGCAATCTTGCATTCTATCATTCTTGCCAAATTGCTACTGGCAAACATTTTTTCAGCAGAGAAACTAACCGCTTCCCCTCAAAACGAAATGTCACTTCGCTCTCTCAATTTTCCCTACTTTGCAAGTTTTTTGCGTACGCGAACGCAAAGAGCTGGTAGCTTTTGATAACTTTCAGTAATTATCAGGTACGCGAATGCAACTATTTATACATGCAAACGCTGATGACAAAAAGTATTGGCAATGAGAATTTTTTATAACATTTAATTTTTCCGCTATTTTTTATAGAAATATGCTTCATACTACAACAAAAATCATAAAAATATAATTTATAAACTTTGTGCAAAACTCAGGAAAACTAAATAAATCATGCAAATTTTCAACTTTAAATAAGATTTTTTTTTTTATTTTGTCCAGCGCAATTTTGTAGCCCGTTAAATTTTAGTATATAAAATCGCGTTGATTTTGGAGAGTTTTTTGTTTTTGATGTTTCGCATTTTTTTAAAAAGTATTTTCGATTTTTTTTTTAAGGAAGATGACGAAAATCAACGTCACTTTATTATATGAAAATTTAATTACAAAACTGCATACTCAAAAATATCTGATTAAAAAGTTGAAAATTTTGTGAATTTTGCACAAAGTGTAGAAATTATATATTTATGCTTTTTATAAGAAATTAATGAACGGAAAAATTCAAATGAAAAATGTTACATTGTGAAAAATTCTCTGTGCCAACACTTTTTTCCGACAGTGTACATATTTTATCGATGTTCATTTATTTTTCTAAATTTTGGACATATTAATTCAACGCGGATTTTTCCTATTCCCAATTTTCTGCTTGCAAGTATTAAAAAAATTTATTTCATTTGGAATTTTTAAAAACTTCATAAATCAGAATTAAACTTTTTTGTTGTGTTTCCTGTGAAATTGTTTATTTGCAAACCTTTTTCATAAATTTCATAAAGCTATTTATGCAATTTATGTGTAATGCAAGTTAATTTATGCTGAATTTTATACCTCTCAATTTTATAAACAGTTACGGTTTTGAATTACATATATAATTTCAAATATTTTCATAAATTTTAAATAAAATATTTTTAGGTATGTAATTTTTTTTGTTATAAAAGTTTGTTTTAAATAAATTATAATAATGCTAGATGTAAATTCTTTTTTAGTTTTACAATTTTTTACAAAACAAACAAAATTTTTATTTCCTTACGATATTTGAGGCCACGAGAGCAGAAGTGGCCTAACCCACATTTTTTTCTTGTACTTAAATTCTTAAAATAGTTTCAAATGTGATAGATTTCAAAGAATGGTATGTTATGCAGCTCAATAACTTAAAATTTAAAAATAAACGACTTTCATTTTAAAATTTATCTAATTTGAGACTATTTTAAGTAGGGAAGTACACAAAAAAAAAAAAAAATTGTAAGGCCATACATACATATGTATGTACATATTTTTCGTTCGAATTTTTAGAAATTTGTTTTAAAACTACATATAACGGCCAGTGTTTTTTACACATTATTTTCGATAATAGTCATACATACACACATATATGCATAAATACATAAAATACGCTGTGATTAAACATTTTCCAACCAAAATTAAAGCAAAAAAAGCAAAGCATTTTTCTTCAAACGTCATTAACTATGTATATTCTATGAATTTATTAGCTCTGTATATCCCAATAATCAAATAAAATCTACTAATGTTTGTATGTCGCCCTGGCGAAATTAGAACACAAAAAAAAAACAATATACATACATACATATATACAAACTTATATTTAACTGGGAAATTTTCCTCATTTAACGACGCAACGCTAGGCTATACACAAATTAATAAAATTTGAGCAAAAAAAGAAGAAAATTAAGCCATATGGTGGGTGCGTTGAGTGATATTACCAAAATACATGCACACATAAACACTGATTGGAAAGGAAATTATGCGAAATAGCGCGAAATAAATAAAACGAAAAACTTACGAGTTATTAAAACAATAAATGAATTAATAAAAACTAAGTGAAATGTGCTGAAAATTATATACATATATATATAATTAAATTAAATTAGCATACCTACATACATATATAAATACGTATATACGCTTAGTAAGTGTAACGGTAGTGTAAAGTTATAAAATACTGTTACCTAATGGATTTATAAATTTCAGACAAATAATTGCATTTTTTACAACTTCTTGTTACTCTATTTACCTCTAATTACGCTTCCGGTTGTTTTCTTTTTTTCGAATATCTTTTTCGCGTCCCCTACGCTGGTTTATAAGCGTTTTATCGTTACATTCGCTGTTAAACTTGCCTTTTCCGCCCCATTTTTTTTGTAATTAAAAGACAGAGTACATTCATTACATTTGTGTTATTTTTTTATTTATTACAAAAACAAAATTACTGGCAAATATTGCATATGGAACGCACGCCCATCCATATGAATTAGCACTGTTGTTTATTTTTAGCATTAAATTGCTAAAAAATAAAATTAATTTAAGTAATACAAATAACAAAACGATTGCCTTTTATTTTCTATACTTCGACATGTCTTCGTTCTGCCTGATTTTCTCGGATATCCTTCGCTTACATGTAAATGTTCGGCACAGGTCACATAATTTAACTCCACTAAAATATTAAATGCCTACGCGTCGCCGCCGTCTTACTACATGATTTGCGCACGTAATGCCACTCTGCTGGGTATTTCGACGTTATTGACACGCAGCAATTGCACCAGATTGCGCAAAAACTCCTGCGATATTTTCAGCTCGTCGTCGGCCTCCAGTCGTTCATACAAATCCAACGCCGCCTCATAGTTATTCGCTTTGGCGAAATGTGTCAGCAGCATATTGTGTATGTTTTGCTCATCGATGATGCGGCCGAATCCACGCGCGCCGCGCGCCAACCGCAGTAAGGTGGTCACAGCGCCCTCTTCACCCAGATAATCACAATTTTTCATAAGCAGTTCTTCATTGATGCGGAATTCAGGGTTGATTAGCAGCCGTCTCAGTTGGCTGTCGGTGCCCGATTCGGCGAAGGCTAACAATAAGCCGCTGTTCATATTAAGAACGCCATGCACTTTGGAGATGGTATTCGTCACTTCGCCCAGTAGTTGTTGTGCTTCATCGCCGCTCACGCCGCCAAACTGTGTGACGTCCGGCTCGTGACCGTTACTCAGCCGCACCAACAACGAGAGCAGCTCAAATTGTAGCGGCGTATGCTTGTATTGTTCGGCGAGTTTTATAAAATCTACCACGGCGGCTTTGATGTCGCCGCGTAGTAATCGCTCTCGCACAATCGGGCCCAGGACGCTGTTGTGCGCATTGCAGTAGCGCAGCTTTTGCAGGAAGTGGAAGTGCTCGCGTGTCAAATTGCGCTCCGGCTCCAGCGTGGGCATTTTCGCAGCGAGCTGTGCGATATTAGTAAGGAAATTCCAAACGTTTTTTATAACATAATCGCCGCCTTGGATGCGCTGCGTTTTAGCGCGCTCTTGCAGCAGCTGCTTAGCCGCATCTAAGCGGTTGTTGTGTACCAGCAGCGCTGCGTAGTCAATGAACTTGTGCTCATCTACGGTGAAGTCTGTAAATTAAATTAAAATCAATGTAAAAAAGGTAAAGTCTTTGAGAAAAATTACGCACCGGAAAATTGTTGCTGTAAACGCTGCAGGCTCTTCTCAGCATTGGGCAGATCCTTCAACTTAATGTAAAGTTCCAGAGTGCTAGCCAACATGCCGGCGCTCACTTGCACCTTCAGCTCGTCGCACTTGGCCTTGATCTCTATCGCGCGCTCTAATCGCCCGTCGCGCACACACAATTGCAGTAGTCTGCGCAGCACGCCCCGCGTATTCATGCCTTTCGCCTCCAACTCTACTAAATGATATTCCAGCTCTTCCAACGTCATGTCGCGCGGATGCTTTACAAATGAATTGCTGGGACCAATCGCGCCTGCTGCAGTACTTTGAGGCAGCACCACATTGTTGTCGGTAATTTTGCGCAGCGCTTCTTTAATGCCACTGAGGTTGGCGTTATTTTTTACTTGCTCCTCCAGCGCCGCCACTAGCGCATTAGCTGCAGCGGGCGATATCACCAAAGCGAATTTGACCATTTCATCAACGAAGCGATACACCGCTCTCAGATCACTGCGGAGCCGCATTTGCCCATGCACCATGCCCAGCAATAGTTGGCCCACCCAGTCAACTTTGCGGTTTTCACTCTTTTTCGACAGCGCAGCCAGCAGCTTGACAAACTGTTGGTAGCGCTTAGTGGCACGCACGTTTACCGCTGCGTTGGCCAGTGTCGGAACCAGCTGCTCCACTGGCATTTTAGTTGGATACAACTCGAGCAAATCGTGCGCCGCATCAAGCCGCTGGTGAAGCAGCAGATACATAATTATTTCAAGGAGCGCTGACGTTGGTTTGATGCCTATGTCGTCTAGTGCTTTTATTGCCTGTTCGGGGCGTTGCAGTGTCAGCGGCAAATGTGGTAATACGTAGAGCGCAATAGTTTCGCGATCACAAGCCACATTCAAGGCTTTCATTTGCTTCAGCGCACTGAGAACGCCGGCCTCGCCTGACTGTCGGTGGTTATGCAGCAGCAGTGGCCAAAAGTAGTGAGGGCGCAGTGGCTCCTGCTGTGCTAGAGATTCCAGGTAGGGCAGCGCCGTTTCAGCATTGCGCCGTAGTGCTATCTCCGTGGTGATGTGTAGCGAGCGGGTGTTCTTCCCACTGTCTTGAAGCAGTTTAGCTACTTCGATTATCTCTGTGGCGGTGCATTTTGCGCGAAATAATTCTTGCAGCAGAAAAACGCCAAAGGTGTCTATATTTTGATTTTCGTTGAAGCGCGGCGTAGGCAGGCTAGAAATTATATGGTTCACTGAGGTTAGATGACTGCAAAAAAAGAAAAACTTCATTATTTTAAGTTTATTCCGATATTTAACCTAAAATACCTATGATGTAGCAGTTCGATGCATAAGTGACGCATTGGCAATGCCACTTCTGTGCCCTCAGCAAAATCTTTCGGCAATTCTCGTACCAACTTCTCTATCAATTCTTCGTCTGGTTGTGATTCCACGTACAAGAGACTGCGCAGCATTCCCACCACTTGTACGGCATCAAATTTACCGTGGAATTGGTCCAACACCTCAGCCGCTTTTGCCGGCGCCTCATTTTCCACATATGCGCATACTAGCAAAGACTGCGTTTCTGTACTGGGTAGCACACCCGCAGCAGCCATGTTGTCGAGCACTGTGCGACAGCCTGCGAGATCGCGATTTCGCGCGTGTCCCAACAGCAACGCGTTGAAATGCCGCTCCATCAGTGGGAATTCATGTTCGCGCATTTCTGCCAGCACCTCTGTCGCTTGCTTTATGTCGCCGGTGCTACAGGCTGTCAGCAATAGTTCTGCGTATACATCGGGAAGCGCAAGTTCGTTAGAATTATTCAGCTTGTTGAACTCTTGCAAGAATAAGCGGAAATCTGCGAGCGGCGCACGATTATGTTGCAGCACATGCAGCCAAGTCAAATAGTTGGATGCGTTTAGCTGTGCGTGCTGTGCCAAATAGGACCAAAGGCGCTGGAAAAGTTCCAAACGCGTTGCGCTCGGACGAGCCGGCATCCTAGTACCGCAAGCACGTAGTAGGAAGTGTGCTTGTTCGCTGCTCAAAAGTTGATTGTAAGCATTTGGATTACTCTCGAGCTGTGTTATAACTTTGTCGCACAACTCGAAGACGACTTGACCGCTGGCCTGATGTTGCGAGATCAATTTCTCCAGCAGGACAGTAAGCACGGGTGTTCTTGTTGTTCTCGTAGCCGATGCTTCTTTAGCTGTTGTGTCATAGGCGCTTTGTAAGTTATTCCATTTATTAGGTGATCCATTTGAGTAGTTCCGCACTGATTGCTGGAGCGACTTCCTCACTGCTTCAGTTGCATAACCGACGACCGCTGCATTCGGTTGATAGTTGACGCGCAGGGCAATGTTGCTAAGTCGCTGCCATTTCCATGTTGTCTGCCATAGACGCACACTCATTTTAATTCAAGTTTATCTTTGGAAAAGCCAGAAATGGAACGTTGTTAAGAACAAAACGCGAGCGATAAACACGCGCTGTTGGCCGTTTGTTTGAGAGCACCGGCTGCATGTCAAATTAAAAAGGGGGGAAAACAGCTGTTTAGAGCAATGGAACATGTTCAGTAGAGTGGTGCGGTAAAAGTTTGAAGTAGAAGTAGGGGCAATTTCATGAACCAATTAACAAGATCACGCAATCGGAAAAGAATGAAAAAAGTAAATTGCTGAACGTTTTTGACACTTGCCTAAGAATGAAAACAAACAAATAAAACGAAAAAGGCGCGGTGATTGAGTGCGATTATATTAGTATTTGTTATAAAATATAAAAAGTGAAACTTGATGGCAATTAGCAAAAAAACTTCATAAAATGATTGAAAGTGTTTTACAATCGCATATTATCAGCACGGGTCGATTTTTCAATGCCAACGTTCTGACCACAAAAGTGCATCCACTTTTTACGCAAATCAGAAACCAGGGAAGCCACTAACTACCCTCTGCTTAGCGCTACTTCTGGTTACCCTAGCAAACGACCTTGCGAACAGCTGTTGAGTTGCTCATTGAAACAAATGCGCTCTGACAAGCTGAAGTTGTTTACGATTTGTTAAATTAAAAGGTTACAGAAATAAGCGCATAATGTGGCGTATTCTATTAGCCACCGGCTGCTTCTGTTTACTCAATTTGGCGGCTGGCAGCGAAATAGTTGATTACAGCTTAAATACCTGTGATAGACGTCATCATGCGTTCAACTTTACCAAGGGTTTACCCATCGATCCTCACTGTCCTTACCCAATCAAAGAGCGGCGTAACTCCATTTACCTGCTCTACGATGTGAATCCACCAGAAGGATTCAATTTGCGCCGTGATGTCTACATACGCCTGGCAGTATTCGTGCGCCAACTCTCTCATCGTAAACCCTTCCAAAACTTGCGTTTGGTGCTGCCGCCGTGGCACCGGCTGTACCACTGGAAATCCAATCATCTGCAACAACACAGCCTGCCATGGGCGCAGTTTTTTGATGTAGAGAGCATGCGACGCTATGCACCGGTGCTAGATTTCCCCGAATTTTTGGCAGAGATTGGGCAATTCGGATTGCAGGAGTCACCTTACGTGCCTGTAAATCAAATATTCCAACTGCTGCATTTCGAAGATATGTTCGAGCAGGGTGTATTCCATGAGAAGTTCCAAGTTGAAACCACTTGCCAAAAGGATCAATATCTCCAGGGGTACTTACTGCAGCAACCCATGCTGTTAGATAACGACTTTGCTTGTGTGCGCTATCAAGGTAGCGTAAATCTGCTTGAACACCTACTGCGGCAGCACATGAAGAACACGGTGTCAGAGGCGGCGAACGATATAAAGGTATACGCCGTACTCAACGCTGAGATAGTGCTGCACGACCAATGGGGCGACAAGGAGTTTTGGCGCGCGCGACGCTCCATGCGCTTTGCAGCGTCGCTGGTCGCAATAGCTGATGAATATCGCGCGCGTGTATTGAATTCTCAACCGGCAGAGGAACTTTTGCAACGACCACCCATGTGGGAAGCTGAGCGCCCGTATCGCAAAGCCCTGGGTGGGGACTACTTGGCAGTACACTTTCGACGCGGCGACTTTGTGCATGGACGGCAGAAGACCACACCCACTTTGAAGTCTGCAGCAACGCAGATACGCGCACAAATGAAACTGCTCAATTTGACGACAGTCTACATAGCCACCGATACCAACGCAATGGAGATTACCAATTTAAAGGCCTATCTGAAACGAGTACACATGCGACGCTTCACGCCCGAATCGCTTACACAGAAAGCGCTTATGAAGGATGGCGGACAGGCGATAGTGGATCAGTTGATATGTGCACATGCTCGGCACTTCATCGGCACATTCGAGAGTACATTCACCTATCGCATTTACGAGGAACGTGAAATACTCGGTTTTACGCGGGAGAGCACCTTTAATACGCTCTGCAAGAATGCCACGTTGGTTAACTGTGAAAAGAACACTGTGTGGCCGATTGTCTACTGAGTGTAGGGAAGCGGGCTACATGTAATCCCACGACAGGCGGGTCTACGTAACCGGAGCGACTCAGGCTTATATTTGGTCAAGGACTGTCACTCGACCATCATCCCACAAAACACTTTGGGAAATCTGTATGCTGTTACAACAACAAGAGCAACGTGTAATTCTCAAAAGAGTGTGTCATGCTTACCTTTTGCCTTTAATGGAAAGCGATGCATTTCAGGTTGAACTCAAGGCTTTTATGAAATTTTTGTACTTCTATACTAAAAAAATTGCGGCTATATAAGAATGTATGTATAATTTCGTAGATTAAGGCACACCAAAGTCACGAAAGTGAATTAGAGTTTAAGTCCATTTATGCTGTAAATTTCTTTATAACTCTTTAAGCTTTATCGCTAATTTGCTGTAAGTTTTCTCTCAACAAAGCGAACTCGGGGCTAAAGTTTTCATTGTAAAAAATGATAATTTTTTAGATTTTTTTCCGAGGTAAACTTTATTACTTATGCATCAATTTCAAATGTTTAAATATTTGATGTAGCGATCATTTGGTTATTAACTATGTTTAGGAAATGCTACTTTTCAACTTTTATTATTTTTAATATTTAAAAAAAATTTAAATTTCTCTGGTTAATAACTTTTGTATATATGTATGTATATATATACATACATATGTATGCATTTCGAAAATGGTTAATACATAAGTACATATGTGCTATTTGCATTTTTAGAAACTTTTTATTTAATTTAGGGTTTATTATTTTGAATTTGATATTTATTACCGGTTTGGGCATTCAATAGTTTATTTAACTGGTATAATGTTTTAATAGTTATTTTTAATTGTATATATTTTTAGATTTTTTTAGCATAAATTATCTATAATAATCACTCTCACTGCGTAACATTATTTTGGTTCAAAAACTGCAACTATTAATAAATAAAAAAAGGGTTGCTACATTTAACATTGTTTTTTTTTTTTTGTAATAAATAACTTTTAAAAGGTTGTATGAAACCACCTTTTGTTAATATTTGCTACTATTTATATAGTGTAAGGATGTTTTCCAATCATCAACGCTTTTAAAAAATTTGTTCCATTTTTGTTTTGCTAATGTAAAAGGCAAAAAATTGCTTGCACTACGTTACAACGCTTACAAAAACAACTGGTATTATTATTCTTTATAAATATATGTATGCAATCGCCGTTTACCAAAAATGAGTGTAACAAGTCACAGCAAATATTTTTTAATTGTTAATAATTCTGGTTATAAACTGTATCACTTTATGTACACATACATACATATTTCTATATGTATATCTAAATTTATTGCAATTATCTTTATTATTTTCCTTGCAGTGGCAGCCAAATAAAGAGTTAACAGGAATTTGAACAACTCTTTCGCGGCTCAAATTTAAAGATGTTTGCATTTAGCTTTTATTGGGCTGCTAATGCGCGTGTTGATCTTCTTTTTTTTATTTATTAGAGACACTAAAATTGTGTACAAAAGTTTCTTTTTTTATTGAATATACAAAATAAAATAAAATAAAACATGTCCACAGTTTAAAATACAAACAAGAAATGGAAGGCTTTAAAATGAACAGTTAAAATTAATAAAAATTGCACAGAAGGTTTTAAGTACATTAATGAAAGTGTTAAATATGAATAACTTAATTAAACAAAATAGTTAAACTGCAGCTGTGCATATTCAATGCTTACATACACATGTACATTTATGCATATTTATTTTTTTGAAATTGCTTTTATTTGAGATTTAAAGAGGCTTAAGTTTTGCTTTTTTTTTAAATTTTGTCTACATACAAGTAAGTGTGAGTAAGAGAAGGTGTGTTAAAAGTCAAGAGTTAAAGTGAGCGCGCGATTTGCGCAGAGTTTGCACTAATTTAAGGAAGCGCATATAATTTTGAGAAGCACATTGTAATTTAATTTGTTTTAACTTTTTTTTTTTCTTTACTAAACTACAGGTTGATAGTATGTATGCATTAGTTAATGTAGCATATAGTGTCCTTGCTAAAATTTTCTTCGAGGTTTACGTTAATCATTATACAATCGTAACAAGAAGAGTAAACTAGTTAATTTCTTGCACTCATTAGGTTATAAGTAAGTGAGTGATGCAACAGTAAACTAACAAAAAAAAACTACATACTTATATAGATGACTTTTACCTTTTCAGCACCTATTCTTGGTTGATAACCGAATTAAAAATGGCATATTTTTAATCTAATTACTACTTCATTCTAGTCAACATAATCTCGTATAATTAATTCTCGTTTCGTATACGTATTCGTGCTGCTTACATTCGGCGTAATATTGAGGCTACTGAATATGCTTCCCCCACCACCAGGGCTATTGCTGGCGCTGTCGACGCCGCCGCTTGTTCCACCGCCTCCCAAACCCGCACTGCCATTACTGTTATTGCTGTTCAAGCTGTTCAAAGTTATATTGAAATTGCTATTGAAGCTGCGCGTATGCAAAGTAGCACTTGCAGCTGCCGCCGCTCGCTCGCTTTGCATTTTATTTAATTCATTTTGTAAACGCTGATTACTCAATCGCAAATTTTCATTTTCGCTAAGGCACTCGCGTAGGCTACGAAAAGGGACAAATAATTATTGCAAGTGATTTTCGATACAATTATTCCCACCTCTTGATCTCGTCCTGCATTGTTTTGATATACTCGCAAGCCTTAATTAGTATTTGAGACTTGGAATCGCTGGGTGGCGTGCGATTGCTGTTGCCATTGTTGCTGTTATTGCTGGCATTACTATTCCCACTACTGTTGTTGGTGTTGCTTTTTTGGGACATTTGCTCCACCAAGCTATTTAGTTGATTGTTGCTGTTGTTGTTGTTACTAGCACCTTCCGAGGGCAGCATTTCTTTGAGTTTAAATATCCAATTGTTTATTTTATCGCGTCGTCGTCGTTCAACCTCATTATGAGTTGCGCGACGCTTGTCATCGCGCTTTATCAATCCAAAGGTAAAAAGCACAAGTATATTAGAAATATATGAAAAAATATTTTAACACACACTTACCTTTTTGTAAGCCTCCAATATGCAACTGCGTTTTGTACTATTGCCCTGTATATCACCACTGTTTATGGCTGTTACTGCTGCGTTATTTTTATTCGAAATGGAATTTATTCTCTCATTAGCGGTTGAACTCGATAGCTTATTTGTGATCATGCAAGGCAGCGGAGTGTTGCGTAGTATCTGCACGCCATTAATTGATGTTGATGCGGAAGTAGTTGCAACAGCGCCCGCTGTTGACGTTAAAGAAGAGTCCGGCTCTAACTTGATTGCATCTGGTGCGGTGGTAGTGTTGGTCATTGGGCTAGGCGGACCTTGCAACAGCTCACTGTCTTCGGGTAGTATGGTGGGCATATTATCTACGTATTCCTTGACTATATAAATTTCGCAGCTGTTAGGTAGATGCATTGGCAGCGTAGCGCTTAAACCATTGCTTTCATTAGTACTAACTACGCTATCACTGGCGAGCGTATTATCTACACTGTGCAGTTGACGTTGCATCTGGTTGACAATGCGATATTGCACGGGCAATGTCTGCGTGGCCTGCGTACTGCTACTGCTGTTTACATTCCCAAGGCACAATGCATCTTCGTGCTCTTGCTTAATTTGTGTCAGTGTACTACCGATGGCCAAATAGTCCTCCGACTCGTCAGAGTTCTCATCACAGATGGTAAGAAAAACATTTGCGGGTAGCATGCTCACTGTATTGTTCGTGGCCGAGTTGGTGGTATTACTTAAGAAGATGCTGCAATTATAAATGAAATGAATTACGTAAATTGTATATAGTGACGCTTACTTTTGCGTGCCAATGATGTTGGAAGCTAATTGGTTGGTGTTCATTGCACATCCGTTACCGATGCCTGCATCGATATTTGTCGGTGCCACCGAAAACTCCAACCTTGCTCTCTTGTTTCTGCTATTCATTGTGGCATTCACTTCATGCTAACTTTGGTATTCCTTTATATATGATGCGCCGTCCGTCGTCCACAATGACCCCCAATACACAATTGCACTCTAGTGTCGTATTTACACTGTGGGAAAAATTAAAGAAGCATTGAATTTCCTCCACTCTTGAACTTTGTTTACGTATTGTTAAATAAATCACAGTTATTGTATACGTAAATAAACAATATTTTCCAATAAGTTATCTTACATTCTGCTTTTTTTCGTTACGAAAATGAAAACAATGTCAAATAAGAGTAAATCTGATTGGAGATGTTGCCAGTCGTTTAAATCTTGACCAAAAAGTGAAAGATAAATAAAAAGATAAAAATGCGCTACCGGAATCGGTTAGGGACCAAATTAATTCCTTCATACAACAGTTTTACGACCACTAGTCTTGCCAACATCAGCTGCTCTCATAACAAAAACAAAAATGCCGTAGATTGTCTCCGAGGAGTAAACGAGCGAGAGAAGCGTCTTGGTTTTAGTTTATTTACCGCCAAAATTGCAGAAAGCGCGTAGGATATGGGATTTTCATTTAAATCGTAACAATGGCCGATAATAGCAAGGATACCTGTTTGAATGCATTCATAGTTCAGAGCAAAGCACGGCTGAGGAAAATTTTGGAACGCCTTGAATGGAGTGTATGTAGAAAATGTGAGGATGCAAGTGATAAATAGATTTATTTCAGCGGTTAAGTTTTCTTACAGATTATTGTACAGGGCACGGATTCGGAGGATGCCACACAAAACGACGTTCATGTGGACTTTGACTCGGAACCAGAGTTTCCTCCAAGCTATGCTACTGGCAATTTCATAAAAACCGGTATTTTATTGTTAATCACAAGTAGTACATATAAAGTTTTTACATAGTGCTCCTTAGATGTTGCAGAATTACGTAAAATCGTAAATGACGAAAGCATAGAAGTCCCGAGAAGATTCTCAGATTTGCAGCTGAATTTTAAACGGCAGCAGAAGCTCGCCATTTACGAGCATGTTGTGGCTAACACAGAGAAATGCTCCGAGCTAGCATTAAATGTGCCGTAAGTATGAAAATAGTTTAAATATGCTTGCTTAAAACATTTGATGATGTATGAGTAAATGCGAAAACATGTTTATTCCTTTCAGGGCATTGAATGAAGGTTCACTAACGTTTGCTGAAATTGTAGCGCAAAAGAAACGTGAAACGAAAAAACGCCGGCGGTATCGAAAGAGTAAGCCAACGCATATTGAAGAGGTGCGCGCTGTTTTAGATCTACAAATGCAAGCATTGCAACAGTATCTTAAAACAAAATCTGGAGAGGAGCGTAGAATTAAACCGGAAATGTATAAAGGACATAAGCGAAGATCTATAGAAAAGTACGAAAGATTGAGTAAACGAGCAATTCGTGAGCCCGAGAAGCATTATAATTACCACAAAAGTAGAAGTAGGAGCGCTGACCCCAAAAGTTCAAAGAAAAGTAGACATAAAAGTCGCAGTCCTATCAGAAGTCACAAGAATGAAAAGCATGCCCGCGATCGTAGCAGTAGGACGAAAAGAAAGAAACATAAACATCGCAGTAGAAGCCATAGCAAAAGGAAAAGTCTCAAGGGAACGATCCGTAATAGAAGCATCGAAAAGAAAAGTCACAAACGGCGGAGTAGAAGTTATAGGCGAGGCCATCATAGAAGAGAAGATTATCCCGAGAGTCCCAAAGTCGGGCTGTAAGCCAGGTATTTGGATCAATTTAATAATACATTTTAGATAGCAATCGAATCCATAAAAGTTGCTTTATTTCTCTCAACGTTCATTAGCGTCTGCACTAGGCTAGCCTAGCATTACTCTTCAGAATTTTACGTAATTTCACTTAGTGGATACGCGTGTGCGCCTGTTCCAATGGAAGTTCAAGCCATAGTTCTTGACACGTTCTTTTTTTGGTTTTTCGTCAGCATCCACGAACCAACGCCAGCCGTTGCGTTCACAATGCTCAATTGCCTCTGCTTTGGAACCAAATTCCACTTGCATATTGGATAGTGGATCTCCACTGTAAAATATTAATATTTGCCTTAATTATCTTAAATAGCGTAAATACTGAGCTTACGTTGAAGTCCATCCCATCAGTGGATTTTCCCAGCGTTCACGATTGTCAAACTCAATTTGCCAATGTTGAACGTTATCAGTACCACTTTGCATGGCATTTTTGGGTGGCACATGTATGCGCACACGTCTTGTTTTAATATGCTCTTCTGGCACACCACTAATGGGGCTAAGGTCGACCTTTGTGGGTACAGTGATGGCTCCGCTGAGTTTTTTCTTTCGCTCCACCTCTTCCGGTCGTGCAATAGCTGCGTTTACATCAATTGGGGGTGCATCTCGCGAGCCAACAGAAGCCATTCTGCGACTGCACAAAGCTACGGCCTTCGACCTGATGAATAACATGAAGTTAATTGCAATGAAATATCAAATGATGAATTGCATACTTACCATTGTACACTTTGGGCTGTTTTTGCCAAAATTTGACGCGATAAGGACATATTTATCTAAGCGAATAAATAATACCTTGATTATTACATAAAATTTCTAATTTGCCTCTGCGAAAATTTGACAAGCGTTAATAGAAACGCCAAAAAGGTTTTGTTGTTGTTTACTATTGACATTTACGAAATTTTGACACAGAACGCAATCCAGAGATGTTATTTGCTGATAAGTTAATCAGTTGTGTTCGTTTGGAAAAGCCAGTACGAATTCAGAGAATAAACTTGCAGCCCTATTCTGTTGCGCTCACAAAAATCACCATACTCACTATTGTGAGGTTTCTTACTATTGTGAGGTTATGCCTATGCTGGCGTAAATTCAAAAGCTCAAACGCTGAAAATTGACAGAAAATTTATGATGCACGAATGAAACCCCCACAACAGAAAAGACAGCCAATTTTTATTGAGCAATTGAATAATAGGGGTCTTCATCTAAAGTGATAGTTCGTATCTTGCTAAATTTGGTAACAATTGGTACCAACTTGTACACGTTTTTTTTTTTTAGCGAACAGCACTAATTGTCAAATTCCATTTGTTTACGCGTCTTTTTGGCATTTTTTTCTATACATTTCGCGTCTCCATTCTCATTTTGGCAACATATCATTTTCGACTTGAGAAAAAAGAGCTCCGAGAAGATGGATGCTGTTGTACTGGACAATGGTGCATACAGCGCGAAGGTTGGGTTGTCAAGTCAAGAGGATCCGACTGTTGTGCCCAATTGTATTATGAAGGCAAAGGCAGAACGACGACGTGCATTCATTGGCAGCCAAATAGACGAATGTCGCGACGCATCCGGGCTGTTTTTTATACTCTGCTTTCAAAAGGGATACCTACTCAATTGGGATATACAAAAGACTGTCTGGGATCATATCTTCAGTAACGAAGGTACCGGCATTACGCTGGAAGATCGGCCCATTGTTATAACCGAACCGCAATTAAATTTCGCTAGCATTCAAGAGGCGATGATGGAAATACTTTTCGAGGAGTATCATTGTTTCGGCGTGCATAAGTGCACTACAGCAGAATTGGCGGCATATAATTACTCCGCAGAAAGTGAGGAAAGCCCACTGCAGGCTTTAAACTGCGTTGTCATAGATGTTGGCTACAGCTTCACACACGTGGTACCATTCGTGCGAGGGAGGCGTGTGGAGAGGGGTATACGCCGAATTGAGGTGGGCGGAAAAGTACTGACAAATCATTTAAAGGAGCTTATTTCGTACCGACACTTAAATATGATGGACGAGTCTTATGTTGTGAATCAAATAAAAGAAGACGTGTGCTTTGTGTCGCAAGACTTCAAAGATGACATGCGGGTGCATAGTTCTGCCGAGAAACGCGCAGAAGTGGTAGTCGAGTATGTGTTGCCAGATTTTACAACAGTTAAACGTGGTTTCATTCGCAACAAAGAAAATGTGGAGAATGAAAATGAAAATGAGGAGGATGAAGAAGGCGATCAGCAAACGGTACGTCTTTGCAACGAACGCTTCACGGTACCTGAACTGCTGTTCAATCCCAGCGATGTGGGCATTCACCAAATAGGCATACCAGAAACTGTAATCGATTGTCTCAAGGATTGTCCGGTGTACGCGCACAGCGAATTGCTTCGTAATATCCTCATCATTGGAGGAAGCTCACTTTTTCCAGGCTTTATACCGCGCTTGAAAGCGGAAATTCGGGCACTGGCGCCAGATGATCTTGAAGTGTCTTTGATTTTCCCCGAAGATCCCATCTCATATGGTTGGTATGGTGGAAAGGAGCTGGCTTGCAGTGATGGCTTCAAAGATATGTTGCTTACCAGAGAGGAGTATGATGAGAATGGTTATTCAGCATGCAATGGAAAATAATAAAAAAATGCAAGCAAATTCATACAACCCTGATTTTTGATTTCGTACATAGATACATTAAGGTTCTGCTGAAGCGTTCAATATTACTCTTTATATTCAATGAAATATTTAGTTGAAAGTTTTAAATATATCCATTTAAAACAAAACACATAATTCAGAACTATCGCTTAAATGAAATTTTAAACTAGTTTATAGCATACTTATGTTTAAGAGTATGCTGAGAAGCTTTGTAACAAATTCTAAATTGGTCGCTTATTTCGTATTTACACCCTTTTTCCATTCTCATCTATTTAGAAGCTAAACGATTCGCCACATCCGCAGGTACCTTTTATGTTGGGATTATTGAAAACAAATTCACTCGATAGTTTTGACTCGACAAAATCCATTTCCGTACCTGAAAAAAAGAAGAGTTTGTTGAACCCAATATGTAAAAAGTACATCGTAAAAGATAAGAAACATGTAAACATCAGCGTCAGCAGGCTATTATATAATTGCAACTTGCGGTGGGTGGTTCGAACAAATTCTTACCAAGCAAAGACAATTGCGCCTTCTTATCTATAAACACCTTGACACCGTCCTGTACAACTTCTTCGTCGAATTTATCTGCTGAAGCAAACATATTTATTTTTAAGGTTCAAATTATATGTATTTTTTACTTTTACCTTTCTCTTTTGCATAATCCAACGTATAGGAGAGTCCATTACAGCCTCGCTGCCGCACCCCCACTTTCAAACCTGTCTGTAATTGCAGGAAGTTGTATTTTATTGACTAATCGGTTACTAACCAATACTCACAAATTCTGGCTTATTTTTTAACAATTCTTTAATGCGATTCACTGCGGCTGTTGTCTAAAAATAGTTTTTTTTTATTAAGCATTATTATTTACTATACCTATTATTATAGGATAATTTCATCAGTTTTCGCAGCTTACCAAGGTTAGAGCTGCTCGTGTGGGCATCAGTTTGCGTCCTTTCAGCGCACGCACCGTCGCCGTAGCTACAACTTTGGTTGACATCCCTTGTAAATGTTTAAATTTTATCACAAATTATACGCTTAATTGTTATACGCGTGTACTGGCAATTTTATTCATAACAGCAAATTTTCTTATTTATTTCTCTTTCAACAGCGATCGTTTGTTTTTGTTTCATAATCGACCGTCGTAAGTGACAGTAATCAGCTGTTTTACGAACAGCGTTGCCGATTTGGTATTTTTTACCAAAATTTCTATTTCTTTTTCGTTAGTTATCAAATCTGGTAATTTGTTAACTTTTTCTATTCGGTCCTACATGTTAAGTGGCTGTTGCAAGTGCAAGTCCTTTTCAAAAGTTTGTCCAAAACCCAAAAATTTTCAAAAGGGATTACACCTTTCGAAAGCAGTTTTTATTTCTGAAAATCAAACTTTCCGATACTACTTTTTGTCTGTTTACACGGTGAATGCTGACAAACCCACTTTCAACGATGTTGTCAGAAATGTTTATGCTTATAACAAAATTACTGACATGAATCTTTTTTTTAATGTTCAAATGCGCACAAAATATCCACAGTGTCTAATGCTTTAATTTTTGTATTGTTGATATCAGGAGAATTCAATAATTACAAGTATTTTTTTTTTTAATGTGATGAAACATTTTTATAGTCTTATAGAAATTCGGCAGAAATCACGTCATACGACAACACTCGATTGGTTTGACGGCACTTGCAGCAAAAATGAAAACTGCTAGTGCTGCACGAGCAGGTTGAAATTATAGTAGCGTTCTTGCACGCGATAGTTTGTACTAACTATCACGTTTTGGTGTTCTTGTACCCAAAAAAATTGTAAGAAAAGGGAAATTGAATTAAATTTTTGCTAGTAAGAACTTGCAAGTGAGAAAAACAGCTGATCGCATGTTGCTGGATGGAATTAAAACTAATAAAAGAAATGTTTATGAGGTTTTCATAGTTGAAATTGACAAAATAAACCTATTTAAGTATAATATATATTGTTTTAATAGGAACTAGCTGCGAATAAACAACAAATTAATCAGCTGTTCGTAAAACTTACAAATTATCATGAACGAAAGACACAAGATCACGCGGGACGGAAAGAACGAAAAAAGTTATTTTCTAGCTGCCGAAATCTCGACGCCATTTTTGATGTAAGAAGTAAACAACGAAGAGAACGGAGAAAACCGCGAAATTGTTGAACGCATGAAAAATCATTTTTATTATGCAAATTCTTCTAAAAATCATGCCGTTGTGTTAAATTATTCTTTATCTTATGTGTACACACCTTGTCACAAGCGAAAATGAAGAAAATTGCAGTAAAAAGCCACCACCAAATTGTAAACAACGAAGAAATGTAAATAAACGGCTAATGTCAAAATCGTTCAACTTTTTTCCTTAATGCGATTCTAACGGGCTACTCTCCTGCCCGCGTGATCTTGTCTTTTTGGTTCATGCAAATTATTACTGGTTTTGCGTTCTTGTATTTCGTGCTATGAGAGCGAATTCTCAGAAATTAAGTTACTGGAGAATTACTGGCAAGTTACTGGATAATTTGTAAGAGAACACAACTTATATCTGAAAATCGATTTGCGTAACCTTGCGATATTTATTTCCGAAATTGATTTCTGCAAATCTGAAAATGGACTTTCTGTTTACACGGCAAAGTAGTATTTCGATTTCGCATTTTGACAGCGAAAAGCGTAGAAAAAGCGCTTGCATTGCCTCGTTTAACCGCACCTTTACTGGTCTTACCTTGTCAGTTCGTCAGCTTCGTCTTCGGTCACACTTAGGTTTGAAATCCTCGCCAAGCGTTTCTGTTGTTGTGACTTAGCGATCACGCAGATATAAAAATTATAACTGAATGGAGTGCTGGATGCATGAAAAGCTTGGTGTGTTCGGATTTATGTACAAAAACACGGTGCATTCTTGGTACAAACATATCTATGTACAGTTCTGCACATAAAATAAGTTAAGTTTGGTAACTTTCTGGTGATTTTGGTAATAAACTAAAAGAAATCTTGGTAACACTGTTGTTCTAGTTGACAACTGCATTTCTAAACTGACACTTGTCACCAGCGATTGGCAACGCCGAGTGTAGCCCCAAAATACAAGCATGTGTATTTTGACAATTGAGCGGGAGTTTTGACGGCGTAGCTCCACATCGCATTGAGCAATTTCTAGTTGGTGTTTGCTTTGGATCTTGTTTGGGTTGGTGGTTCCAATTGGACGCAACTGCTCGCGGATAGGTTAAAAAGTGAAAAAAGTGCATAAACAATTTATATCGCCAATTGAAGCTTGTTTTCTTCGACAATTTTGTGATTGTGGTGCACTGGAACTGTATTGTGCTGTCCCCCAACTCTGCGAGTTCTAGTACGTACGTTTGTCGCGGCGCGTGCCCGATCGTACATACATACATATTTGTTTGTACTGTTGTTTTAGTGGAGCTCCTCAAGGCATCTCGCATTCGCGTATCTCATATAAACTGTCGCGGTCGAAGTCGTTTCTGCTTTGGAGAAGTAGCGCTGGCATTGGGGCGAACGCACTCACACACCCATGTCTACAATTGTGGTCAAACACGCACGGACAGTTGGATGAGCATACAACAATAAGAAAAATATGAACAAGAACACTTGTACGTTCTATAGTTATTCTTGGTTTGTTTTTTATTTAAATTGAAATTTATTACACTTTTGAAAACATACTGTGCTGTTGTTTTCGGTCGGATTAGTCGATCAGTGGTTTGCGTTGTGCTCAGCGATTATTCTTTTATTATTTACCTGCTTTAACACAACGGGGGCCGTGCTCTAAAAAGTTTGTATGCTTTTAACATATTTTAAAAAGTTTACCTATAAATAAACGAGAAAACTACAAAGGAAAGCGAATACTTCTACTACATACTTGAGTGTAAAAACTAAACGCGAGCAGGAGGAATAAATCAGAAAACGCAAAAAATTTTAGGAATATAAAAAAATAAAAATTTCGTTTAAAGGCCAATTAAGAATAAATACTTAAAAAAAATTGTTAAACAACAGTAGCACCCAAAAATTCAACCGCGCACATAGTTCAACATGGATATGGATACAGACAATGAGAAAGAGGTGCTCTGCGAGAAAATCATTAACGACATACATGCGGTATTCCTCAAGGACCCAGACCTGTAAGTACATTTTTTAGATATGCTAATTTGATTGGAGATTGGAGACAAAAACAAATTTTATATATACCCTGCAAACCAAAGTTCCCGAAATCCTAACGCAATTTTTGGGAGTACTATCCCACTTCTGTAACGATTTTTTTTTTTACAAATCTTCAAAGAAAATTATATGAAGTGGTTGACACGAACTCGTAAAGAAATTTCTGTACGAAAAAATAAGAAAATTTTGAAAAAATTATACAAGAAATTCTTCACATAACTGCATTATTTTCATTGCTTTACTGAGTTTCTTCTGAAATTTCAGCAAAAAATCGGATGAGTTCTTTAAGAAGTCTTTAAAATTGCTCTACAATTCAGAATACTCTAAAAAATGTTTTGCAGGGTATGTACATATGTATGTATGTATGTATGTACATATCGGAGCTATGCTGCAATGTCAATAAAAAAAAAATAATAATAAATAAAATCTTTAGTTAAGTATGCAGAAATGACCGCCACTCTTCTTCTATTGTTATTCTTTATCGGCGCTGTAACCGTCGAAGCGATTTTGGTAGACACCAAAACAGCACGTAATTTCTCATCTGTGCAACTGACGCCAATTGGAAATGCCAAGTGAAGTCAAGACCTTCTCCACCTGGTCTTTCCAACGCAGAAGAGGCCTTCCTCTTCCTCTGTCACCACCATCGTGGCCCGCGTTGAATACTTTCAAAGCAGGAGCGTTTCTGTCCATTCGAACGACGGGGTCAAGCCAGCGGAGCCGCACTATGTCTATATGGTTGTAAAGCTCATACAGCTCATCGTTATATCGTCTGCGGTATTCGCCATCGTCAACGCATAAAGGTCCGTACATCTTTCGCAGAATCTTTCTCTCGAAAACTCCAAGAGCCGCCTCATCAAATGTTTTCATTGTCCATGCCTCCGCGCCATACATCAGCACAGGCATGATGACTGACTTATAGAGTGTGATCTTTGTACGACGAGAGAGGACTTTACTTCTCAATTGCCTACTCAGTCCAAAGTAGTACTTTTTCGCAATAGTGATTCTCCACTCTGCTTCTAAGCTCATTAGAAGAAAATGCTCCTCTATTTCAGTGGAAGGTCGCCCTATCTTGGCTGTCGTTTAGTAAACTCCCTATCCCGCTCCGAAAATGCCCAATCTCAATATGTATATTGGCAGCTGAGACAGCCCGTTCAACGAAATTTCTGGTTCTTTGATTTTTTGGATTATGGCCCTCTCCAGCAAAGCTAAGATAGGTATGTACATACCATTCATATGTATGTATGTAGATCTTATGCCCAAGTTATTTTTGCACATTCACCTTTTCCACCTTAGAGGGGTGTTAGTTGAGTGGGATTGAGGCGGCTTCAGTATCCAGACCGTAACTGAGCCACGGTAACGCGGGTTTCTCCTGGCAGTTGAAGCTCTATCTGCTACATGTGGTGATTGTGCTCCGATCACGGCATTCAAAGGTTGCTTTATGAAACTCTGGACATCGTCCGTCCGTTCGTAAAGATGCCTTCTGACATGTCTTGGCGAGGGCTCCGCTGCAGCAGTTGTCTGTTCGGGTGTCCGTCTGTGGCTTTCTAATAGGTATTGCTTGCAGAGAATTGTGTTGTGCTCCTTTATGGGGAGCATTTTCGCCTCGTCGTGTAGGTGGTGTTCTGGCGACATTAGAAGGTATCCAGTAGCAGTCCGTAGTGGATTGTTTTGTACTGTCTGAAGCTTCAACCGCTGCGTCCTACTGATCCCCGGCTACCACACTGGTGCTGCGTAATTAAGAACCGGCCGGATAATTGCCTTGTATGTTGCCAGCAACGTTTCTTTGTCTTTGCCCCAAGTACTGCCGGCTAGCGACTTGAGGGCCTTGTTGCGGCTCTGTACCTTGTTGACAATTGCGGTTGTGTGCACATAGAAGGAGAGTAGACTGTCGAATGTTACTCCGAGTATTTTTGGGTTATTCATCGTCGGAATTGGTGTGTCATCAATGTGAATACCCAGCGGTAGTCTGACGTCCTTCGTTCAGGTGGTAAATAAGGTCGCAGAGGACTTTGTAGGGAAGAGGGTTAGGCTCCTAGCAGTAAAGAAGCGAGAAAGCTCGCAATCGAATGAGGTGGAGTTGTGGTGTAGTCGTCTCTGGCATACACAGCAGGTGCAAGTTTCTGGCCCAGGGTTTGACTCGCTACCAGCCCTGAGCAGAAGAATACGTAGCCCTACGGACGAACAACGTCCGACCTAAACGGGGTTAGTTCGCCGAAACAACAGCCCTTGGTCGGGTAAAACCCAAGTCATTCCGGTACGTAGAACCGGCTGTCGTGGGAACCGCTCGTCGGTACCTCGTCGGGTCCAGTGGTTGGTCTATGAATGTCTGTTGTCCGCGTCCTTGTAAATGAATAGGCGACCTAACCCCCTTTAAATCGGCGATTCCTTTCAATGACACATGCTCTTAATATGCGGATTAACTACATACCAATATGTATCGCGTTTGGCGGCCGCTGTGTCTGTGTGGTTAGAGGTGAGCACTACCACGCCGTAGGACCTAGGCTCCCCCGACATTCGGGTCTACGTAACCGGAACAACCCGGATTCTGGCCAAGGTCTGTCACTCCTGCATACCCAAAAATTCTTTCATTTATATACTGTTACGTTCAACAAAGTGGGTTCGATCCCTGCCCCTTGGGAGGCAATGGCAAATCACCAAGTGTATTTGTGCCATGAAAAAGCTTCTCATAAAAAACATTTGCTGCTCAGAGGCGGTGTAAAATTACAGGTCCCTCCATTTGACTAACAACGTCAAGACACACACCAAAAATTGGAGGAGAATATCGGCCAAACACTTAGCAAAAGTGTAAGCGCCAAAAAATTATTATTATCCCGTATGTCAGAAACGCAAAAACTATTTGATACAATCAAAAGTGACACATTTTGTGTTCTATTATTAAAAAACGTATGCCCTTGGGACAAAGAAACCAACTTTGCCAATAAAGCTCGCGTCGGTTGCAGTTAGTTTTAAAACCTGAACAGATAACTATATACTATGTACATACATACTCATGAATGTGATTTGTGGCAGGCAATATAACTCTACATACTTACAAAGTTGTTCAATGTCCAATGTGTCCAAGCTATAACGGCATCACAGTAAGTCGTTGCGCAAACAAAACACTTTTAGATAAACAAAATTGGGAGTTCTGTATTTGATTTATGATGTCGATTACAAAAAGAAAATCAAGTGTCCAAAAAAAGGTACGCATAAACCTTACCGCTGCTAGCGCCTTTTATTTTCCTCATATGTATTTTTTTATGGTTTCATAGTTTTATCATGAGAATCCCGTATGCTGTGTTGTATTTGTATATACACACCTACATGCATACATATGTACCTATGAACATACATATGTACATATGCTGCGAGCAATTTACTAAAATATCATGGAAGCCACTCAATTTTGATTGTTTTGATCAGTAGATAAATGCGTGTACATGCTAAAATATGTATTTATGTATTTATGTGTGTATATATCCCACGTTTAATAATATAGAGATGTAATTCAAAAGTTACGTTTTTAGAGATTTAATCATAAAATAAATAACCTTGATAAGGAGAATATAATTAGCCTAACAGATTACTAAACCTGCCAAAAATGGCGAAGATATTTGTCTTTCCAGCTGTCTTTTCGTATAAAAATTGAATTTTGAAATAATTCTATATATTATTAAACGTGCGATATGTATGTATGTATGTATGTACATATGTATATACATATCGATGGCTGAGTGGAAGATCGACCTTTCTCGGCAGCCAGTTTGAAAATGCCCTATCTCAGAAAATTTTTCAACAATGCCCTACTCATTTCAGAATTTGGTTCAAGAAAGCCCTATTTTAGAGTTTTATTGAAAAACACCCTATCTCAGCTGCCGATTCAGAAACGGCACATTTTCAATGTATTTTCGTTTGAGATAGGGCGATTTACGCCGACTCCGAACGGCGGCTGTATTTTTATGAGAAGCTGTTTTTCGTCCGTTTTCCTTCACAAAAAAAAATTATTTCACAAGAGTTTAACTATGGGGGCAAGCTGGTTTAAACTTTTGTTAACTGAGCGTTGTGAATATGAAAATCAATAGTTAAACTCTTATCAGTGGTTAACTACGCACTGTGAATTTGGCCCTTAAATAACCAGTATATACATATTATAACAAGTAATTTTTAAGCAAACAAAAAAAATCGACTTCCATTCTCATATAAAAATTTAAGATTATCGTTAATCTCTTTATGATCCTATTTACGCATTTAAACCAAATTAGTATGGGAAAACCTGTGAGGTAACACCTTTTCTTAAACAAAAAAAAAATAATTATAGAAATCGGTTAACGTGGATCCAAAACAAAAAAAAAAATCGACGAATTGATAACCTCCCTACTTTTTGTGAAGTCGGTTAAAAAGAAGCCAAATTGTCCTATAAATAATAATAGGCATAAATATTTTCCCATTCCCGTTGGTTGCCTACATACATACATACTATTTTCAAATGCCACATTTACGTTTTTGTTGTTATTCATTGATATTAGCTTTATGAGTTAAATTATTTGATTGTGCACCAGCGACCACGTTGCCACTTTCCGCTTCCCGCAGGGTGCTGGTGGCAGGCAGTCAGCATATCCATAATACTCAAGCGGTACCCACGTAATACATACATACATACATACATACCCCCAAAAGCAAAAGTAGTACATACATATGTATATATGTATCTATTTATCCACTTCTGTGACTTGTGGTTTGTGTCGGTTATCACGAAAATTGCTATTCCTATGAGCAACGGTTCCATCGCCGTCGACGACGACGACGACGATAGAGACAAATATTTGACCTTGTCATTCAATTGAGCTGGAGCAGCTGCTGTTTTGAGCCCATAACAATTCATTTTCATCTAATACTCGTACGTGTGCATATATGTGTGCAATAATGCATAAATATTGTACATATGTAAGTCTATCAAAGTTTTTGTCATACTGTTGTTTTGTTATTTTTGTTATTGTGTTTACGTGATAAATTTACTGTGTGTGTTTGTTTTTATCATTACTGACTGAGGCAACTAGTGCTGCTCTATTAGCTACATATCACTTCATAAATAAATGTAAGTACATGCATTCATCATTCATTCATACAAACATACTCATTTAAAGGGTGTTCCAAATGCAAGCTTCTTTTAGAGAATAAAAGCTTTAAAAAGGTTATTCAAAGTAGTAAAAAGTTGCTATATAGTAGTAAGTAAAAACTACTATCACGAAAACTCTTAGTACCTACGTAAATTGTAATTTTTTTCAAAAAAATATTACGATTTCTGGGTTTTTAAGTTTTTAGAATTGCGTGGAATCGCCTAAATATGTATTATGCCTACGGTGACCAGATTACTGTTGTCGAAAATCGGGTCATTTCGAAAGCATCGAATACGAACATACAATTTTGTTTTTAGAATAAAAAGACGTAACATCTTTTAATACAGTTTTATTTAAAACAAAACAAAGAGAAAAAACTTGAAAAATTATCGCAAAAATGTATACACATAAGTTATACGGTGGCGAGAATGTAAATAAGGAAAAGACATTTAGCAAGTTTTGGCTAGTTTTCTTTGCAAAAAAAAATTTTATTATTTTTTTTTATGAAAATATAACTCACTATCTAAATAAAACTGTAAATCAAAATTTCATACTTTGTAGAGCATTATAAAAATTCGACGAAATTTTAAGTTGATCAAAATTTTAATCAGATTTTCTAGATTTGTTTTGAGTATGCATTTTAGTAGCCCATTAAATTTTGGTATAATCAAGTGCAAGTTTGAAGTAGCTTGGACTTACCGCTGACCTTTGGTAATTTTTTTTGTATAGATAAAATGAACAACACCTTCCACAAAAAAAAAAAAATACCAAAAATCAACGGTACTCTATTTCTAAGAAATCTAATTAAAAAGCTTCAAATTTTGATAAAACTTTGTCGAATTTCGCAAATTTTTGTACAAAGTTTGAAATTTTGACTTACATGGTCTTTGTTAGATAAGGAGCTACACTTTCATAAAAAAAGTAATAAAAACTAAATAATTGAAAGGGGATAAGCCAAAGAATGCTAAAATGTGTCTCCCCTATTTGTATTTTCTCTACTGTATCTACAGCTTATATTTTTCATAGCCATGATTTTTTTGAGGGAATTAGTATCTATTATTTTTTACACTTTCGCTAAATTCCAGTTAGAATAGTTTCGTTAAAAAGATATATTAACAAATAATTATAAAAACCTTAAAAGAAATTGAGAAAAGAAAGATAGACTGCAATGTAGCGAGAGTACCAGTTTGCCAGAATAAAGCATAATCAAAGATAATAGAAACACAGCCAAGCATTTTCTTTAAGGAATATGTTTTAATTCCTTTTGATGACTTGTCTGTAAACTATTCAAGCTTTAGGAAGAAACAAGTTTTTGGACCACCCATTATATACAGCCAGCGTCAAAAATATGCATAACGTGTCGTTTTGACGCTTTTATTTGTTTAGATTTTCTTATTTTTTATAAAAACGAGATTGCGGTACACATTGGACAAAAAAAAAATCTCAAAAAACAAAGGTATTTTGTAGCGACTTCAAACTTTCAATTTATACTAAAATTGAATGGGCTATAAAACTGCATACCCAAAATTCAAAAAATTCTGAATAAAATAAGTGAAATTGTGATGAAAGTTTTACGATTTTTTTAATTGCTACAAGGTTAGTTATGGATTTTGTTGTGGTATTGTATTGAACTATATTTTGATTAAAAATTAACAAAATCTAAACAAAACAAAATATAAAAAAAAATTAAAAATTACCGTACGATTTTCACTGACACTCCCCTCACCGTATATCTCAATTAAAAAAATAGAATAATTTGGTATGGAGATTAGTTAGGCGAATTCATATAAGGTGGTGTTGTTTCATCAGATGTGAATAGCGTATGATTGTGATAGTTTGGCATTTCGCTATTGAATGAGTGAAAACCTAAGAGTGTTTGTGTTGTTGTTGGCAATGACCCGCTAAAAGCAAAAAGGTCTTTAACAAAGTGTGATTGAGTTTAACATTGCTCTCATAAGAACCATCATATAATGTCAAATTGACAAAAAAAATTATGAATTTTGAATCGTTTGTTTATATTGTTTTTTGACATTTTTGTACTTTAATACAGAGCCGCACTGGGTTGTCAATTACACTTTCTTTAATCCAGCTGGGCTAAAAGCCAAAACAAAATACACGTATTTTTTGTATTTATTGAATCGATACCACCTTATATGAATACGTCTTGGAAAATATAAATAAATAAAATCGTCAAAACGTCGGGTATACATATTTTTGCCACTGACTGTAAGCATGTACATAAGTGTATATATTCAAGGAAGCGTGCATACACATACACCCACACATACACATGCATCAATCAAGTTTTTAATGACCGTTAACTGTCACTTTTAATCTGCCTGAGATTCAACACCAGTGTATTAAAATTCTATTTTATTCTTTTAGCTCCACCTTCGAAATTATACCGACCTTCTTGAATCGCAACAAATCTCCCGTGATCCACACTGAACACCATCTTGGCTTGGAGGCGTGGTGCATGAAACATGTCTACCATCATTCACACAAAACCATAATCGGCTACCGGCGCCAACACCAGCAACGTTATCTGCAACACAGCGATGTTTTGCTGAAATATCTGAATGTAGCGCTGCTCGTCAACCCGGATGTGACCACATTCTGGCACATACGCCGCCAGATGGTACAGACGAATCATTTGAAAATAAATTGCGAATTTAAATTCTCTGCGTTGATATTGTCGAAAAAGCCGAAATCGAGCGAGGCATTCGCATACCGACGCTGGCTGTACTCGTTTCAGAGTGAGTATTTAATGGGATTCGATGCGCTTCGTGTTAACAGCTTTCAGGCAGCTTTTATCGCCTCACTTCCTTTTGCTGTTTTAATTAATACTCTTTACTCCTTACAGGTCATGACGCCATCGATTGGCCCAGCGAGCTGGGTATTTGCGAACGTTGCGCCGACCGCAGCGCAAACAATTATCACGCTTGGACGCATCGCATGTGGGTATTGCAAAACGATCGCGATCTCATATGCTCGGAGCTGATGATGACCGAGAAGTTTATGCGCAAACACATCAGCGACTACAGCAGTTATCACTATCGACAGACGCTGATACAGCACGCCTACGCGATGTGCTACTATGAATCGAATGAGCTGGAGCATTTGCACAATTTGAAAGATCTGATAAGCTACTATCTGGTCGATGATTTGGAGATACTCAGCACCGCTGATGTGTTGCAGATAATGCTGCCCGGTGTTGATCAGGCAGCGGTGGGTGAGCAACGCTTGAGCTCTTTCCTGTATTGCTGTAATTTGGCAGCGCACGACATACGCTTGTGCGACGATCAGAAGAATATGTATGGGGAACGCGAATCATTCGAAAATCATCGACGCGCTTCGCTGCGCTTCATTGTAGAGAACACTGTGCGTTTGCTACATGGCGAACTGCCGGGGCTGTATCTAGCGCCGCGCACCTATGCACAATTGCAGGAATTCAATGCGGCGCTAAAGAAGTTTGATTATGGCGCGTACACGTTTTTGGCGGCGCTCAAGCGCTCGGAGAGCATGCTGGGCGAGAAGCATCGCAAATGGTGTAAGATATTTTTGGGCTTCAATTATGCGTAAGGAGATGGTGCGGCCGTTCGCAATGCGATCGTTGGCGTAGTGGCCTGTTTTCAAGCGAATTTTTATACACTCACGAAGAAACATTTGTTTGTAATGATTTCGATTAGTACAAATTGAGGATCAAGCGAAATTTATACATATATAAAATCAAACATCGGCAAGTGGGATTGCGCACCAAAGGCTCCCAACGCAGTCCGAGAAAGATGACTGGCGAGGCAATATCAATTTAAAATCAAATTAGAAAGTGTTCAAATGTGCGGACCGAGTCTGCCATATTTTGTCTGTTCCTTTATCCGCCAGACTTGCAGGATTTAGTTAGAATAAGTCAGTTTTAGTCCGGAAGATATTACTAAAGCTATCGTAAATGTCCCTTAAAAACGACTGCTGACTAAATCCTTAAAATCTCACTGGTAAAGGAACAGACTAATTGCTACCATATACAGTTGAAAATCGCAAATGATTTATGTTTGCCAAATGAGATTTCAAAGACAATTACTTTTAAGTGAAAGTTATATGTATGAAAAGTAAAACTGAAATATACAAGTTTTCTGTAATCCATCTATTATCTCCGAAAAATTTCAAAAAAGTTAAACTTAAGTGTCAAAGAAATTTATGTTTTAATTGTTACTGTCTGTTTTTTTATACATTTACATTAAACTTTTCCTTGTTGTAAAACGTTTGAATAAAGTCGTTTAGTAAAAATATATGTAATTATTAAAACTTTTTACTCTTAAAAATCGCATTTATAATTTAGTTTTAATGCTACAAGAATATAACAACATTGTAAACTCTACTTTCTGTGCGCTGTTTCACTCACCTAAAAACTAGTTTACGTAAAAATTCATTTAATCTTCTTGTCTTCTAACTATTAAAGCGGTCGTTTAAATTTGTAATTTTCCTTTCTACTTAAAAACCTATATATGTAAGTACTAAATAGTAAATACTCCTGTCATCAAACAAAAACTATGAAACATTTTAAACAGAACAACAATCTAGTTAGCTATTAATAGACAATTTTAGCCTGTATTAAAATAAAAATAAATCAAGTTTTAAGTTATTAAAATGTATAAAAGAAATGATTATTTGCGAAAAAATATAAATAAAAAATATATAATATAAAAAACTTCGGCAAAAAGACTTATATAAGCTTTTAGTAATTACATACTAAAAATTAAAATATATTTTCGATGTGCATATTTTTATTACATTTTGATTATTTTTTCGTAATAGTTAAAATCATTACTTGACTTATTTGTTTTTATCATTTTATGTCTATTATTTTAAGTTATTTCATTTCGAATTCCTTAAATTAGTAGTAGCGTTGTCTGTTTGACACCGTCAGCCACTCCACGCTACTAGAGGACATTAGGGCTTCCTGTCTCTTACAGAGACTCAAACGGTGGTCAGCGAATTATCTTTCCCCGCTTCTGTTCAATTACTATCATGCCTATTACGATATCCGACGGATGCCATCCGCACGGATCTAATCTGATTCTCCATAACAAGCGAGAGTGAAGTATTAGATTCGTGCGAATGGCATCCGTCGGATACCGTAATAGGCATGTATATCTCCCTCAAACACCCGGGGAAGTCTCTGCTATCTCGTACGCTGACAACTGCTCGTCTTCCGGGAATGGAATTGATAACTTGTACTCGAAAATAAACGGATCTCTCCGTATTTTCTCTTGGCAGCAACTGTGGCAAAGACAAAGAAAGATTGTTGGCAACATACAAGACAATTGGCCGGCCGGTTGTTAACTATGCAGGGCCGGTGCGATCGTCGTGAACGCTCAAGACGCAGTGGATGAAGCTACAGACCTGCCAAAACACGGAACTTCGGACCGCCATGGGATGCCTTCTGATGTCGCCACAGCACCTCTTAAATGAAAGGGCCTAATTCTCCCCAGTCAAGGATCACAGCATTATGCTATGCAAGTAGGTGTAGAGCCCTCGCGTAGGCACGTCAGAGAGCATCTATACGAACTTGCCGAAGAAGTCCAGAGGTTCATAAAACAATATCTGGATCCGACAGCGTAACCACAGGCCATAAACGGCATTCATGGGCAGTCGGTCTCGACTTACACCAACTCCCCATCTGTGAATGCCGTTTTGGGAACAAGTCGGCAACAGCGACTGAAAAAAAGTTTTTATTGTTCTAAAATATAACTAAAATGTTCCAAAAAAGGTGCGCGTGTTTTACTTTAAAATTTCCTATAGGGTCTGGTTTATATGCTTTCAAATGTATGCGTTCCTTTCCTCAAATGAAGTGTAGCAGCATTTTAGGCGCTCTTAAAGTGACGCATACTAACGGAAATATTGCTGTGCATCAGTCAGAGGGCGAATTGTAGTCTTTGAAGGCTTGAAGAGAAAAAATCGTTTAAATGATAAAATTATAAAAAAAACATTAATTTGTGTTTTTAGTGATAAAATTAAAATAATATAATAGAAAATTCTTTTTTTTCGGTTCAGAACTTCACAAAAGCCGAAGGAAACTATTAATTTTCTCATGTTCCCACGACAGTCGGGTCTACGTAACCGGAACGACCCAGATTTATATCTGGTCGAGGACTGTCACTCCAGCAACAATCCCCAAGAACTCTTTGGGGAATTTGTATGCTGTTAAAACAACAACAACAATTAAACTTCTCATGGCGAACAAACGCAGATCATGGTTATTTTTTTTAAGAACTAAGCGGAGTAAAAATATTTCTAAATAATTGAGGAAAATTGGTAGATATTCACTTCGATTTATTAAAAAAAATATATAAAAAAAAATCGAAAATTGTGTGATGGAATATAAAAAACGTGTTTTAAAAGCCACCGTTTTTTACTTTGTTTCTCAAAATTTGCTTACTTTTTAGTTTCCTCTTTCAACTGATTTTACTCTATTCGTCATTTGTTGTGGGCTAGCAGATGCAGTACCTACAAGGCAAACAGTAAATGCATAAAATTTATTAGAACACCTATACTGTCTGGCTACAAAGTAAATACTAACAAATGCATGCCTACCCTGCCGGAAAATCTTTAAGCAAAATAACGTTGCCCTTTGTACGGATGCAAAATTCCTGATTAGTTTGTTAGGGCGTGGCATTTTTTTTTTAACTATAACTCGCTATGTTGAGCGAGAAGCGATATAGAAAATAAAATAAATAAATAAAAAATACTTCCTTTTCATTTAAATAATTCTTGAAAAGCTTTCTGCAGCAAGTCAGTCTGTCGCAGTTGCAGTAAGAAGAAAATATTACTTTTACATATGTAGTTAGATGGTGTTTCTTCCGACTTTCATAATATGTATGCCGGTAAAAATATATACATATTTTTTTTTAATTTGTACTGAAACAATCTTTTCTAAAATCCGTCCCAAGTATTTTACAAAATATATCAAGAGAAAATATTTCTTTTCGCTACACTACACTTAAATTTAGAGTAGTCTGTGAGAGTAGATACCCAAAGGCGAAGAATTTCCAAACGAAAAATATCAAAGGCCAAATATCGTCCGATGTTTTATGTAGAGATACGCCGGTCAGAGAAAGAGTCGGAACCCGCCGATGGATACTTCCAGACACTTGATTTTCTCAGCCTTCTGGCAATCTACGAAAAACTTTTGTTGATCAAAAGACACATAAATGGCATAACGGCCACCATAAACTTTTTCTTGTGCAAGGTTATCTTTACTCAAAGCAACAGATCGTATGAGATACCCTAGAGGGCCGTAGCTTTGAAATTCCTTCACAGGAGGAAATAACGTAAGCGCCGTTTTTCGTTAAACATTTTTATACAAGAAGTCTTCTTCCCTAACTCAAGAGTTCCCTGCTGGGCATGCGCCCTGTATTTGAAGACAAAAGAAAGAAAATGAAACCGTAGAAAATAAACATTCAGTTAGGACATGCGTATGTTTCTTTACCCCGCGGCAAATGCGAAAATTGAAAATTCGCGCTGATGGGCAGCTGGTGGTTTAATGGGCGTGCTAAGGCAGTCAAAATTCTATACATATCCACTAAATAGTAGGTATGTATGTACATATATAGTATATGTAGTTGGTTTAGTTTGACATTTAAACGATAGTAATAGACAGTGAAAAGACAGCGTACACTGAAGCGGTCGATTAGTTTAAAGGTCGTCAATGGATGAGAGCGCGTGTTAAATGTTCGTCATGGCGTGGGAGTGTCGGAAATATGATTTAAGTGAAAAAATGTTCGCTTCGGTGACTGTTCAGTAATGAAAATAATTTGACTATATTTTTTTTTAAATATTAACAATATACATACATTCATACATGCGTACATTAGTGAAAACTTTTAAGACATTCAAAACAAAAAAA